AACTAACCTTTTCTCTAGTTCCTGGTCCCCTTCTCCTATTGGCCTCTGTAGATATAATATTTTGAAGTATTTTCCTTTTAATGTCTCATTTCCTAATGATCTATTAAAACAAAAAAAATTTTTCCTCTTCTGACTGTATAACTAAGCAAGATTTATCAAGATGTATTTTCACATCTCTTAAAATATTTCAGTAGTTATTATTATAAGGAACTTGAAAAACATGTTCTGGTTATTTTTCTTCCATTTTTGTGAATTTGAGCTTCTTTGTAGAAAGAACTTTGTATCTTGGAAATAAAGATATACATTATATTAGAATATCTAACATAAGTAAAACATAAAAAATACATGAAGAGACTCTAAGACAGTAACAAAGAAAACCAGTATGTATTGTCAGCATTTTGAATTTTATTCCCAATTCCATGCTAATCAATTTTTCTTAATGCAGAATTTTGACTTGAAACAAATGCTTCCAATACCATTATTTTAAAGTTTCTTTAGAACTAAAAGAGAAAATAGGATTAAATTTTTAACCTTATAAAAGCAGATGACAACATAGACAATTTGTAAGTTATGTGTCACTCTCCTGTTTAAAATATTCTCGGTCCTATCTCTTTGTAGGGCCTCATTCTACCCATTCAAAAAGAGGCTGGTCAAATGGTTTTCTTTGGAAGATTACCATAATAAGCGTAATGTCAAATCTTCACCAATAACCTCACAATGCATACTCTATTTATTAGGGTTTTCAACTTAGTCCTATTTTCCACAGAAAATTTTCAATGCACTTCAATTGAGGAATAATGCCCTATTACCCAAAAGATGGAAATATGCAATCACTCCATAGAATGCAAAACAGTGGTACTTAAATTATGCTCCTAGTTCTGCATCAGCAGCTGGAAACTTGTTAGAAATGTAAATCTTACCACACTTGCTTGACAAACTACATCAGAAACTGTGGAGAGGGCCCAGCTCACTGGGTTTTAGTAAGATCTCCAACTGGGTGTGATGCCCCTTGAAGTTTGAAAAGTGATGATCTGTCAAATTCAGTGACCATCTAATGCTGGATACCATTAAGAAGTAGAGTGAGGGCACTGGGAGAATGCCAGTAAGAAAGATCATATTTAAAAATCAATTTTGGTAAAAGGTGCAAAGGACTCAACATTCCCAACAGTGAGTGCAGCATGAAAAAGTTTTCAGAAACAGAAAATAGTGTGCCTAGAACATAGGTGTACACAAGACCTGGGGGTGAGAAATAAAGTAGAAGCTTAGAAAGTTGAAAATTAGAGAACATTAGGGTTGTGCCTGATCTTTCCATGCAGTCTGCAGGTAATAATGAGCCAGTAATGGATTAAGTAAAAATGAAGAAGAGTAACAGGAAGGCTTCCTCCATGAAGTCTTTACAGATTGTAATCTTTCTCTAACATCAGAAATTTTCTTTCTTTCCTTCCTTCCAATTTTTCTTCCTCCTCCCTCGTTCCTTCCAAAGTACTAGATGCTTTACCCATCATAAGACATTTTTTAATCTTGATTGTAGTTACTTGTTTGTTTGTTTTATCTTCCCAATTGGGCTACGTGTTTCATAAGAACTAAGAACTGTTGATTTTTTTTCTCTATATTTTCCTGTGCATATAGTTGAATGACTTGCACAGAACAATAACAAAATAAATATCTGTGAGTTAAACATCAGTTAATCACTTGTGAATCTCCACTCTATTATGAAGAGTAACTATCTGATTCAACATAGTATGTTAGCTTTCTGGACAATGACTTTAAGATGAAAACAGTTAAAGTGGGAAATTGTTAAGGAAATGGTATTAACAGGTTTTATGACATGCAGTAAATTCTGTTTGCCAAGAATATGAGACTATGTAGTTTTACAGTGTATTTGCTAAACTACAAAGTTACAGTGCTACACTATCCAAAAGAATAGCTGCTAGCCACATGTAATCATTTCTGAATCTGATATATATGTGAATTACAAATTTCAAGGATTTACTATAAAAAATAAAATATTTCATTACAATTTTATACTTAAATTATGATGAAATGATAATATTTTAGATGAGTTGTGTTTTATAAAATACATGTTTAAAATAATTTTTAGTGTTTATTTTTAGTGTGAATATTCTTCCTGTGTGGCTTGCAATATAATCTGTTGGACAGTACTTGTATAAGATCACTAAATCTATTGGTAGTAACACTAATCAAACCTAGTTATCTTGGATACATATATACAATATATATGTATATTCCACAGTGAAAAATTATACTCAATAGTTGCTAACATTTGTGAAAAGAGGGAGTATTATTTATTCAACTTTTTTTCTTTTTGATTTATCTTTCACATTTAGCAGGTAGAGTTTCTTGAAGAATTTTTGCTAAATGAATGCATGGCTAAATAAACTTAATATTTTTGACCCATCAACATGTAGTATGCATAAAAGTCAATACTTCCTTTTATTTGTTCCCCAAGCCCTACAATGACAAAAAAATTATATTGAGATATTATAGGTTGGGAAATATGTCTCGAGTTGTAAAGATCCTGAGTTCAAACCCTAATACCACTAAAAAAAAGAGATTATATAAACATTAAGTATAATCAAAAACATACATATCCCTGTGTCAGATAGCCCCATATGTCCAAATATATCATATGTTCCTCAGTAACTTAAAGAATTTTATTTTTGTTTCATTAGGTATAGGACTAATTAAATTATGTAACACATTAATGTAATAGAATGTAGCTAAAGTATTTTAATTATAATTAACATAATTATATATTTAGATGTTTACAGCACATCTATTAAACATTTTATCTTTTTATTTTGTGCTTTTGATTGTCATATATACATATTTATTATCTTTTAATTCAAGAATATACTAAGCAATGACCAACTCAGGGTGATTAGCATGTTCATTACCTTTAGTCTATTTAATTCATTATTCATTTATTTACGGTGAATACATTCAATGTCCTCTTTTTAAAATATGCTGAGAGATCGAATACATTATTAAACATACTTATCCTGCTGTGCCATAGAACCCAGAACTTTCTCTTCCCGTCTAACTACAACAATGTTCTAGTTCTCCATCTCGCCCCTTCCTCCTCTACCGAGTCACTGACAAATCACCATTCTATCTCAGCTTCTCTGAGATCAGCTTTTTGTAGATTCCATATAAAAATGAAATTGTGTAGTACTTGTTTTTGTAGGCCTGGCTTTATTAATTAATTCAAAGATCTCCAGTTCCATCCATGTTGTTATAAATGATAGGATTTCATCCTTTTTTCTGACTCAAAAATATTCCATTGTTTCACATGGGATGTATCAATGTATCACATTGCCTTTATGAGTTGGTAGACACATAGTTTGATTCTGCCATTTCTTGGCTATTGATAGCTTCTTGACATCTGATTTCATTTTCTTTAGATGTATTTCCATTAATTGGTTTGCTGGATCATATTGTACATCTATTTTTCATTTTTTAGGAACTCTCATATTGGTTTTCACAATGGCAATACTAATTTACATTCTCACCAACAGTATCCAGGGATTCTCTTTTCCCACTTCTTTGCCAGCACTTGTTGATCTTTAATCTTACTCATAATAGCCATTCTTATTTGGGTGATATGATATTATATTGATTCACATTGACTAATGATGGGCTTTTTTTCATTATCTGGCCATTTATATGTCTCCTTTTTTCAGTTAAAAATGTAAAAGAAAATAGAAAATTAAAAGAAAGATGTAAGGACATCTCACATGATTGAGGAAACTACAAATCTTTACTCAAGATATAAATAGTTCCAGGAATTTGTGTAGATCTTTTGTTCTCTAAGTTAATTTTCCTCTTTTTTTTGAAATTTAAAAGTAAAATAATTTAAATGTTTATATTAAATAAATATAATTATTTACTAATTAATACTTTAGCCTTTGAAGCCAGAGCACAGCTTTGGTATTAATAAATGGTACTTTATCAACAATGAGCTGAACTAATAAAAGGTATGTGGCTTAAAGACTGTAACACCCCCCTTAACTTTACCAATGCTTACACTAATTTTATTCTTTAGTCATTTTATGAAACAACACTTAGAAGAAAGCTGTCTTCTTTTAAGCTACTCTCATTTCTAGAATAACAATATAAGGAAAGGGTAACTAATCAAGTGTATCAGTAAACATAACTCTGCTTTCCGTTTATTTACTGAAGTAAAGGCAAGATTCATTCATATGAGTAGGTCAGGTGTTAAGTGTAAGGAGACAAGGTGGCTGCCACTTTTATAAATATCTCCTCTATGTAAATGCCACATTTTCTGAAATTCTATTATAGATTTTAGAACCACGGACATTATCTCTCCTTTTGTATGAATATTTCCTGGAACTGTAACAACTCAATGAACAGTCATTTGTTTACCAGATCACTGTCTTAACTGTCTTAAAGGCCTTACTTGTGGAAGGAGCTTATTAAGGAAATGAGAACTTATCTGAAATGGAAGGAATTTTAATTAAGAATGTCCATTAATAGGAGGGGGTGACTTGAGTGCTTCACTCCAAGAGACCACTCCAGAAGGCAATAGGAAGGAAGTGAGCACCCAGCTAAGTATAGGAAAACATTTCACGATAACTTCTGTGCTCTTACCTGGAAGTTCTTGAATAAAAACACTTTTACATTACTATATGCCATCTTTAAAATCCAGAAATACTTCAACGAAGCACTTTAAACCAAAAGTGTTTATCTTCATAAGTAAGTAAAAATGCTGCTGGTATAAAATTATAGCTTCAAAACAAGTTTACCAAAATGAAAAATAGATTTATGTGCCTATAAAATTAAACACGTATTGAGAAGGATGTGTAGATGCTATTATTCTGAAGCAGCCAAATGGATAAAATATATTTTCCAGGCAATGTGCTCTGACCAAACGGAAATTAATTTAGGAAGAAAGTTAAAATAATAAATTCTATGAATAGTTTACTTATTAATGTAATATATGGTCTTTAATATTGCAGCCAACTGATGCAACAAAAGTTGTCTCTCATCCAATTACAGGAGAAATTCAGGTATGAAAGTTTTTAAAGTCACCATTTTACCTTTTTTTTGGCTGTTTTTGCTACTGGTCTATTGAAATTGTGAACGGACCATTAGATCTGCCCTATTTCCTGGCACATACAGAACTATAAAGTGTAATTGTATAGTGTAGTGTATTAATATAAATATGAGTTATATGAAATCTAGTCATAGATATGGAATTCCATACTTTTAATTTGCCTGATAACCTTAGCATTGCCAATATGTGTTATGGTGGCAGCTACTATGTAATTGTTGCATATGCTGTAAGCATAACAGCTTCTGCCAGAAATCTGAAGGTTCTTCTTTAAAAGTTTCATAGCTGTAATGCTGTCTTTTTAAATCTATAATTGCTGAATAATTATTATGGAGACGTGTTTTCCATATTGCAGATCATCACAACTTTGTAACTTATAAGACCAATTAAAGAATTTTGACCAGGAAAATAGAATAAACAGAGTATAGATCAATATGGCTTTTTAGTTTGGTTTTTATTTCTGTATTTGTCTATTGTAACACGGCATTTCTTGGGGTTGTCATAGTAAAAAGTATTAGAAAAACTGTATTTTAGGTGATAAAAATAAATTAGAGTAGATTTTTTTTAAAGTCACATAAAAAGAATTAATACAATATAAACGAACTACTTGGAGATAGTAAGTTTCAGAAAAGATAAAGAAGCACTCTTAGTTTTATCTCCAACACAATCTATAGGAAAATTCTCACAAAAGACTTCACAGAGGATAATAGGATCTGAACTAATTTGAGTGTAAAAAAGGTGGGGGAGTGAAATAAGAAAAGGTACTGTATGCAAAGAGCTAAGGAATGAGAAGATCTGCTTCAAGAGGTAGGTGAGATGACATTAACAAGAACTTGGATGCAAGCAGAAGGATACTAACTGCTATATAATATAATGATTACAAATATTTTGTAGTAAGAGAGAAACTAATAGAAAAAATATGTAATAAAGCTTCTTATGGCAGTAGCCTACAAAAACATTGTAAGGAGAGGACACAAAGTCAAAAAAATCAGTTAACTGATTATCTCAGCACACAGCGAGGAAAGCAAAAGTGGGGTGGGTGTGAGTGTGTAAATGGAAAAGTGCAGAACGACACATAGACATAGAAAGAACTGGCAGGACAAACTTGTTACCTAAGGACTCCAGATCTTGCTGTCTCTTCTGTTTCCCCCTCAGAGGAAGCATTTTCACCAGACTTGTCATTTCACAAGCAACAAAGAAAACACTAGAATTTCTGTTTGTTAATATCTTTCCCATTTTTAACTTCTTGCTTTTGTATTATTTGCTGTGTTTCCTTTTCATTGGTTATTGTTTTGTTGTTGCTGTTTGTTTTATTTTAGTAGTCTTTCCCTTGAATAGTAAGATTTCATTCTGTAGTTGAAATTTACCCTAATAGTATTTCACTTAACACTTGGGATATTCTAAAGGTAGTCATTTCAGTTACTTTTTTCTTTTTTTTTGGCCTTATTGCAAATGAAACTTTATATAGAAAACCAAACCATGAGTCTGCTGGCAGGGGAGCTATGGCAATTGAGGACTGATGGGGGCATCAGGTTCTCCCAGCACTGAGCCCTGAGCCACCCTAAGTGTTCTCTAAGGCCATAGTAGAGCAAAATATGAAGAGCATTGTCTCAGGGCAGACTAAGTTTTCATTTCAGTAAGAAATGGTTTGGTGCGTCATCATTTGAGAGTCAATTCCAAGTCTGGCAGAGAAAGGAGAGAACAATGAAGTAGTTCTCCTTAACTGAAGATTTGGAAGTTACTCCAAGTTTCGGTGAAATTAATTGTAGTATATGTCCAGCTCTGCATTTCAGTGGCTCTTCAGCACACACAGTTCTAAACTTCCTATTTCTTCTCTTTCTTTTTGGTTTCTTTGCTATTCACATTGCTTTCATGAGGATCAGATAGAATCTAGCCTTTTCCATATTGAGTCAGGCAATTAAAGATTCAATTTCTGCTAGAAAACATAATCAGATCAAAATTATGGTAGAAGGAAGATTTGTTTAAATATGGAATTTTAAACAAAGGTTGACTCATTTCAGTTACCTTATATTTTCAATATAAATACTGAATATCTAATATGTAAGGATTATAAAAATGTTAGTATTTTTGAAACCAGTGTTTTAGGTCCCAGATCCAAACTCCAGGGATTCTATCTGTCTGTTCCAGCCACTCACCCCAATATGCCAAATAAAGAGAGAAGTAATGATGAAGGGGAGAGAAAGACAGAGGCATGCCATGGAAAGAATGCACTTTTGTCCATCTTCAGCCATCTTTGGGGCACAGACATGAGCTCTAACTTTAAATAAACAAAGAATTTGGGTAGGGGTAGAGAAGTATTCATAATGATTAAACAGCCCCAGTTACAGCTGTGGCCCAGTGGCCCAGTTGATCCTTATCTGCATTTTTGTTTTGGGAGAGGTTCTGGAGAAGTTGTTATCCCTTTTATAGCAATAACAGGATATCTGGTTAGAATAAGCAAGTCACTGCTGCCTGGCAGGTAGTCTGTCCTCAGGAGGCTCTGCTGTTGGAAACACTTATGGATCAGTCCTGTACTTCCTGTATTCCAAGATAGCTGCAGGTGATTGTAGAGAGAATAGTTCAGAGCAAAGAAAACAGATAATCAATGAAGACAGGGATGCCAAGCTTTTCTTCTGCTTTTAATTAATTCATGTGTTCAAGTAAGGACTCAGAGCTTTTCAGCAAAAGCAGCTGAAGTTCTTGTTAAATTTTTATTTATGGATTTTCCCTTTAAAATATAGCTCATTCTTCCATTTTTTTTGATAACCAAAATAAAAAATTGATGAGAATTAAGTCTTACTCTGAATGATGTCAAAAGAATCTTTCAATTTTGAAAGAGGAAAATCAGTTAATGCAATGATTTTGGATTATGCAGGCTTCTCAAATATTGACTTGAACTGTAAGTCTTTTACTATCTAATGCCGATGTGGAACAGCCAGTAAGAACCCATGTGACATGACTTTTCTTTCTTATAAGCTTCTAGAAAAATTAAGGAGAAAGGTCATATTATCCCAGTCTCTCATTTTATAAGAAAAGTAGGCAGACAAAAACATTGGAGAATGTAAAAGAGAAAGTGGGAAAACCTAAACATTTTGAAAAATTCTTACATTTCAGCACTGACAGATTTATCTTTACATAACTGTTCTACCCACTGCTAATTATTTGCTGAAATCCAAATGACATTTTATAATAAATTTTCCAATTATTTATTTTCAAAATCCTCATAATTTGTGCTATTTTCTTAAGAAAAGAAATTCAATGTAAAAATGCACCTAGCGCTCACTGTATGAGTTTCCTTCTAAATGAATCTTAGCAAGCAAGGCCAAGACATTTTACCATGGAACGACTGGACAGCGTGTTGATTAGAAATTAAAATGTGCCCAGGAGGTCCCAATTAAATTAGACATTAACTCTTCAGTTTAGTTTCAAATAAAATGGAAATGAGGGTGGATATTTCTTGTAAGATTTTTAAAAACTAGAAAATAAGAGTAATAGTGATGTAGCTCAGAGACACAGTGCTTGCCTAGCATGTGCAAGGTCATGGGTTTGATCCCCAGCACCACCACCAAAGAAACATTGAATGATATTGTATCACATGTTTTAAAAAATTTCATGGAATTATTTTCTATCCCCTAAAGCTTCAAATCAACTATGATCTTGGAAATCTCATAATCCATATTCTCCAAGCAAGAAACCTTGTCCCTCGAGATAACAATGGCTATTCTGACCCTTTTGTTAAAGTGTACCTTCTTCCAGGGCGAGGGTAAGTAAAGAATCAATGTCTTCCAAATATTTTCCAAAAGTGTTTTGAAAATAGTGACAATGTCTTCCAGTCTCAAACTTCAAAGCCTCACCTTAATTGACTTTATTATGACATATTTATTTATTTATAATTAGTAGATAAGGTAGAATTTAAATTATATAATTAAGCTTTAAAGGATTCTATAAGAGCAGCCTCAGTGAGAACAAATCAGCATCTCAATTTTGGGAACCAGTCCTGTGACGACCAGACAGGTTAACTGTGAAGTGAGTTAAATCTACTTGTGGCAGGTTTAAGGAATTTACTTACATTCCCAAATTTATTTAAAAAGTCAATGTTCACTTACTGTGTATTTTTATAGGATGTATATGTTTAACATTCATGTTCTCAAATCGATGTTTTAAAAATAATAGTAAATAAGAGTATTTGAGAGGCTCACTTTGGTAAACAAATGAAAAATACCTCTTTGAGTCTTCTTCTTGTTACATATGCTGTCGGTATAATACAATGCAAGTGCTCAGGGCGAGGAGTGCAAGTCAGTGATAAAGCCAGTGTGTAGCATGTGTGAGCGCCTGGGTTTATTCCCCAGCACCAAGGACAATTAATAAATAAAGGAAAAGTGCTTTTGGAGATGTTCAGTTTGCATATAATTAATGCTAATTGCTATGATCTATTATGTAAATCAGTACTCGAGGGTGGTTTCAAAATGGAGGTTTGGCCTCTACAAATCATTATTCTTTATCTGAACAATTTGTGCCAAATTAACATGATGAAACCATAAGTAATCAACAAATGGAGGTATAATTAAAAGAACTATAAATTGGTAATTTGAAGACACTAGATTATTTTTTGTTTATTTTTCTTTAATTTGAAGAGTGACTTTTGAATATTGTTTTTCTTGGAAATTTTCAACCATGGTACAGAAGCAGAGAGAATACTGTGTGAACCACCATGTACCCATTGCTCATCTTGAGCAGTTACCACTTAGTGGCTGATCACGTTTTATTTTTACCCTCATGTACTCCCTTCATCCATGATATTTTGAAGTCAGTCTCAGCTATTGCAACTTGCTAGTGCAAGCATTTTAGTGTGTATTTCTAGGAAATACTCACTCAAAAATAATCATACCATATATCACCATGAAAATTTTTAAATAATTCCTTAGTTTCCTCAGATGCTTTATACTATGCTCCTAGCTGGTTTGAGAATCTAATATTTATAAAACATGCTACCCATCAAGAGCAAATTCTTTTTAAGTACACACAGTACATTCAGCAAAACTGTGTTCTTGGGTACAAAACAAGCCTCAGTAAATTTAAAAGCATTGAAATCATACAAAGTCTGCCCTCTGGCTGTAGTTGACGCATCTGAATAGATCCACATTAGTTACAGGCTGCGTTTGAATCTGCTATTCACTGACTGTGTCACCTTGGCAGATTACCAATTTTTTTCAGTTTCAGTTTCCTTGTCAATATTGAGAGAGCTGATGTAGGCAGATCTGTAATTTTCAGTTTGTCAGAGGAAACAAATCAAATGATACTCAGAAAGTAATTTGAAAATTGCTAGGTACCATATGAAATTCAGTATATAGACTTTAATTTCATCCTCCCCAATAATTCCATTTGGAAACTTAGAGTTGTTGGTATAGTTGCTCTGGTTTCAATTTATTAAACGTTTTTGAAAACTTTCAGCAATTTTACATAATGATTACACACCAGCTACCGGTCTAGGAAAGGCAATCTTTTATTTTATGTTAATTAATTTATACATTTATATAGTTGTATATATGATTTGTCTACATCTTTTAAAGTGAATATATGGATAAACAATAAACTGAACTGTATTCTAATTGTGTATTTGGTCACTTGACCTTTAGTGTTCTTTACTAATATTATGAAATAAGGGAAATCACTCCCAAGAGTTTGTCTTTAATTAATATTTTTTAAATGACTAGATGAAAATAAGCATTATCTTTTATTTTTCATCTTCCATAGCAATATTCAAATTATACTACAAATCAAATTAAGCGAGTGTCTTTTCTTTATACAGGATATGTTTGTTTGCAGTCTAGCAAACTTGCATAACCAGGACAGGCAGGTAACATGAATACGTCAGTTCATTCTGGTACAAGTACCAGGGAATGGTCCACCCAAGCTAACCTGGTGCAATTTCTCCATCAAAATATCCCTGATGAGTGAGATTTAGCTCAAAGGCAGCTACTATGCTACTCATATGCAATTCCTAGTTCTTTCACTAAATTATTCCTAATTACTACCATGGTAAAGGCATTGGAATTTATTACACTTATGACGAATTATTTTCATCATACTTCTAAGATTATCTTCTGCCTTATGTCATTTATATATTATGCTATAGCTTCTCTATTCGTTATTCACATATTTTCCTCCTTATTTCTGTTCCTAACTATTTTCTTCCTGTCTTTCTTACTTTCCTGTGGTGTCCTTCACTCCCGCTCTTGGAATATATGCAGTCAAGTCATGGTTGTCCAGAATGCAAGGTAGAGTTGATTACCTTACAGTGTCATACTAGGCTGTTATGACTAAGTTATTATACTCATGTATTTTTACATATATTGATCTGAACTTCAATTTGGGCCGTAAGTTTTATTTGGTGTCTTTCAGATTATGCATCAGCAAAACTTTTCTGACCATATTTCTAACTAGCTTTAGCAGATGTGTATAATCAGACAAAAAAGTAGAAAATATTAAAAACATAAATAAGGAAATATCACTCTGAAATTAGACATAACTAAAATTTTCATTTATAATCTGTTCACTAAATCTTATGTAGCTTTTCATGTGATAATCTTAAAACCCATCTTAAGTTCTCCTGAGTCTTCTATTACAAATAAAAATACCTAGAGTCACTGATCTTCTGCATATCATGTACTAGATATGTATCTCATCTTAAAGACAATATGTGCAGATCTGGTCTTTTCCCTCACTTGAACATGGTATTGGGACATTCCCATTTTTTTATACCCTTTATAGCACAAAATTACTGGTATGCAATTTAGAAACCATAATCTTACTGTAATATATTGCCAATGACATAAGAGTATTCTTGTTTGTTTCCAATATTAGGAGCCTGCTTTCTGATATAACTCTCAATAAATCACACATTATCAACAATACTGCCTCTTAATACACAGCACAAAGCATTATTTTGCACTTTTCTTATCACATTATAAATTACATGTGTTATTTAGCTGAGGAGACAAATCACGTACCATCTGTAGCAATAGGATGATGAGAAATTTAATCCCACCCAGATTATTAATGGTACAACATTTGCTTTGGCTGTGATATTAAAATGTGACATCTTTATCAATCCTGACAAGCTGTTGCCCAGAAGAGGCTGCTTGTGCTTTTTAAAGGCATAAGTATTTATGTCAAGCAATACAACTAGTGCCACAGCCTCACTGGTACCCAGAAACATGAAGCCACATAATTACAGCAAGCAGTGAACTTTGATACTGGGATGAGTTTCTTGTTATGCCTAGTTCTTTCATTCCAGAACACAATGTAGGTCTCTGAAACATAAAATTAGTTTTGTTTGAAAGAGATAATGTAATTTTTACAACAGACATTATTAATCATATTATTCAGAATTTCTCTTTCTTCTAGAGAAACTGGGGGAGCATTATCAGAGTAGTGATTTTATTTAAGTTAGAGGAGAGCATGTTTTGTAAATGTGAATAGTGGCTAGATTAGTATGGAATGTCTAAGGTTACAAATGGGAGATTCTAGCAGTTGATCTATCATCTAGAAGTTATTTCCATTATGTCTGGGAAAATTGTCAAAGTGAGAGGAAATTACAATGGCAAAGTACTGAATTTGGAAGCTAAGCAATGGAAGCCAATGAATGAAGTCCTTAGGAACTAGGGTTGCAAGTTCAGCCCTGACATCAGGAAGCTATGAGATTTATCTAAAACTGTTTTATATTGTGCTAACTAGGAGTAATAATAGCCTTCTTAATAGATTTTTTTTTGATGAATTACATTGAGTAATGAGCCAAAAGTGGTAAGCATAATGTCTGCCACATAATAAGCTCTTAATAAATGGCAGTTGTTGTTAGTATTGCATGTAGCAAAAAAAGAAATACCATGTGCTTGATCCACTCAAATTGTATCAAGTTATTTAACAATGTGACACAGAAAACCAAACAATGTTCCTTTGGTAACAAAATGTAGTACATTAAAACTAAAATAACAAAAGCCTGTTTAACTAATAAAAAATTGCACTGTTCCAGTTTACTTATCTTTTTTATTTCCTCTTCTTACCCTTTAGTCAATATACTCATAGGCTCTGAAAGGGCAAATGTCAGGCAAGATGAGGTGAGAGAATGACAAGCACAAATAGCCCATGAACTCAGTGCATGCCCAGATAATTAAAACATGGAAATAAATGCACCTGGTGTCTCCTTTCAACTTTCTCTCATCACACTTTGGGCAAAGTGCAAAGTTTTTCTCACTAATGATATTTTGCTATGATCGTAACTAGTTTTAACTATCATTCTACCTGTTAGCGCAATTAACAGCTAGACTTTCTCTGAATATCTTTGTTAGCATGTCAAACTATTTCCTCCAGGACAAGTATTGCATGTATTTACAATATGATGCCCAAAACTTATTTTATCTTAGTAAATTTTAAAGGAAAACAAGAAGTACAAATGTATTTTAACATGAAGATAAGCACCATGTTCATCTTTATGAGTTGACTTTTTGTTTTTCCATATTAATACATCTTTGATTATTATATATGGCCTGATTTTCATAATGTAATACCATTAATGTAATCTTCCCATGAAGGAATATATTGTAGTATGTTTACCAAACAAGAAAGAAACAGGAGAGTAAACTCAATTTTTTCTCATCCTGAATTTATACTCACATTCAAAAATCCCCCAGCTTAGCTGCTAATGTTCAATTTGTAATTCCACAGATTTGACATGACTTTGAGAATTGTGGCAAGTTTTCAGTTGTAGGATGTAATAATAAAGCCCACTGGAATCATACACTAGATGGTCGGAACATAGTTGTTGTAAAGAAGTGTTATGGAAGGGGTGGCTTCATATGGCCAACTCTGAATGTCAGGAAATGTAAATGCAAAAAAAGCTGTCATTGTGCATGGTGGTATATGGCTGTAATCTCAGCACTTGGGAGACTGAAGCAGGAAAATCACAAGTTTGAGACCAAACTGGACTACATAGTGAGACCCTATCTCAAAGAAAAAAAAGCCACAAAGGATTTCATTGGTATCTACACAGACCAGTCAGAGCTGGTGAAAAGGGGCTTGGGTATAGAGAAAATTGAAGAATCAAACTCATTAATAGAATTAAAATACTCTATTAAAGTGAACATCTTTATTTGTGACCAATCTATGTTACTTCTGATGGGATCTGTTCAAAAAATAAGTACTTATAATAATTATCCCTGATTGTTCCACAGCATTCACTTAAAATATATATTCAGAATACTTCCAGGCTAAAAGTGGCCTATTTTTATGACATGTGTGTACACATACATTATATATAATTTATATTGTATCTACTTAAAACAAATATTTAATTTGAGGTGTAGGAACATTAGACTATAAGTATGCTTCATATATACATGTGACAACTGCATAATGAAACCAACCAAATGCTGTTTGAAAGAAGGAAGGCAGAAGAAGAATGGAAATATAATGGAGGAAGTGAACTTGCTCAAAGTACACTGTGTGCCTGGATGGAATTATCACAATGAAATCCCTCCTATTATTACTATATGCTGATTCAAAAATTAAATAATTCTTTAAAAGCTCATTGCTTGGCTTCCAAATATTTAAAAAAGAAACAAGAAAGAAAACAGATGAATTAGTGGCATTTTGTGATGGGCTTAATTCACTTCATATAACACATTTAAAATCAAAGAATCTAATTTCTTATGCTTTAATCTTAATCCTACCATCTAATAACTGTACAACCTTGTCAAGATACTTTATTTCCTCTGAGTTTCTGTTGTTCTTACCTAATAAATGGGATAATTAATAGTAACTGTGTTTTAAGAATGCTTTGAGGGTTAAATGGGCTAACACATAAAAAGCATTCAGAACTCTGCCTAGGAAAAAGTCAGAATTTAACAAATGTTAGTTATTAGTATTTCAATGGGCTTACTTTATAAAATGTTTTTATGCTTGAGTTAAATATATGAATATATATCACTGCAACTAAATAAGGATTTTGCAGTTTTACATCTTGATAGCGATGCATAATTCCTGGTACAGACTTAGTATTCAATAATTTTTTTGCAAACTGTATAAGTGAAAAGAATGACTAACTGTGAATATAAAATTTTTAATAATAATTATTCATATTTATGGACTAGAAACAATGATGACTTATAAATTCTTTTGAAGACATTTCAACATAGCAGATAATTTTAATATACAGACATATACAGAATTTTAGTGAAAATATGAGTTCACATTTAACATTTATTCCCTTATTGTTAAATGATATAGACTCAATATCTTGGAATTTAAAACAAAAACTTTACTGCTGCTCACTGCATTACGACTCCTATCCTTTATATGCTTTTCCCATGATCTCACTACTTTGATAACTAAGTCCAAAACCAAGCAGAAATGTTAAAACTCATACTACTATGTTTTTCTTACATCCCTACCTAGAGGAATACCAACCTAAGTCTATTGTTAACTTAGAAGTGGCCACATTAATTCTATCTATGCCATTATTGAAAAAAAATGCCAGAAGTGAGTATAAAAGAACATAGCTTACCAAACTCTTTTGGATTTTTGTTACAAAATCTTTCTAACCTACTGAAAATTATATCTTAATGAGTACTTGTATGCTTGTTATTCCAGGTTTATCAAATATTAATATTTTGTGATTTTTACTTCAGATGTTTGTCCAATAAAATGTACTTTACAGTATACCTGAAGTCTTCTGAGATCGCATTCTTATATGCCAAAAATAACCACTAAATTGAATTTAATATTTATATTTCTCAGGTTTTTTATAGAATATAATATCTTATATTCAAGTTATTCAAGTGAACTAAATAATTTGTCCTATTACTTATATCACGATACCTTACTACATTTATCCTTTGGCAAATTTTTTGATAAATATTTTTTTCAAATTTTTTCTAATTTAATATGTGGAGATTTATTTAATTCACTTAATCTGCTGATTAGTATTACATTGGCTGAATAAATCCTAATGTATTTTTTCATTCTCTTATTGACATTATTAGGAATGATACTGCAATGAATATGAAAACATTTCCTGTACATGGTTGGGAGAAGTTCTCTAGGGTAGAAGTAGAATTAATAGAAATGTGGTATTCTGAGTTTGGGGGTTTATAAACTTATGCTTTACTAGAGACTGACAAAGTGACCTAAAAAGTTTGTGCACGAGCTTATACATTCCATCCACAGTCTATAACAGTTTCTTTAAATTATTGTCTTTGCAAAATCTTGGCAACACATTACATTTACCAGGGAGTTTTCAAAAAATCTTGTGTTGCCCAAGCGTTGCCCTAGGTTAACTTCAAATCAGACTCTCCTTGGAGGGGAAGTTGGATGAAGTGTTGACTGAGTCCCCCACAGACACACACACACACACACACACACACACACACACACACACACACACACACTACTACCAATATTGGAAATTACTGTCCTTACATCTGACAGGTAAGAGAATAAAACCAGAGTGAGAAGGAAGATATGTAGCTATAGAGCCATCTCTACAAGTGGGTGTCAAATTGGAGTTTGAGTCTCAAGAGCTTTATCTGGAACACAGGCAAATAAATTCCTGGGGAAAACACTGGGCATCCCTTGGTATGGCAGTATTTGAGACCAAGAATGTACCAAGATGGATATAGCTAGAGTTCCAAATAGAACATATCCAGTGTCTTTAGGGAAAGGCATTTTTTAATGTCCAAACACATGTCAGGAACTCTGAACAAATCTGTTTTTTTCAGAACTGTGGTAATCACCAGAGAAAAAAAATGTTATTCAATTATTGAGATTCATTTGATTCAGAAAAAGGCAATGAAAGAGAAAGGCCTTGCCTGTGTGGACACCATTTGCAAATAGCATATTGCTGTAATGTAATTCCAACCCCAACCACTATTTGGTCCTGCTACAGAGAACTCCCAGACTTAGTTAGGGATAGTTTTTATATAAGTTGTTTTGAAATGTATAGGATATAAGATTCTAACTATTGCTCAAGGGGAATGGAAGAGTCAGAGATTAACACAAATACTCCAAGTTACAACGAATGGGGTTCAATAGTAACATAAGCCATTGGCATGAAGCAAGAGTTTATATTAAACTAAAACTGCTTTGTAACTACATTAAATACCATATGTCACCAAGAATGCCAAAATATACTGTAAATGTTAGATAAATTTTTATGAAATTTCAGATATAGCAAGGGCCATTTTTCATCATTTTCTCAGCTAATGCAATCATGACTATTTTGTTGAAAAATATGAATTGAAAGACCATTTAACTTTCTGACATGAATAAATGTAAAACATCTTGGAGTTTACTAGACCAAATTATTAATTATAGAGCATGAATGTATTGGTGTTACCATACAGTTCATGTAATTAGCTGCTACATTCAGGAAAGAATAAGATTTTTTAAATTATAACAAAGTTAGAATACTTACAGGCATTTCCTTTTGAAAAATATTCATTATGGGAGAAAGGTAAGGAAGAGTGGTAATAGAGGGGTTCAGACCAAATAAAATGCAGTATATTCACTGGTGAAATACCATGGCGAAACCCCTTTGAACAATGAGTATACACTTAAATAATGAAGGACAAGGATGTAAAACTGGTCCTGTAAAAGGGAGGGTACTGGAAGTAGGTGGGTGAATGGAGAAGATAAAGGTGGGTGAATATGGTCAATGTACTTTATGAAAATAGAACACTGATACCTGTCAAAATCATTTTAAGAAGAGGGAAGGGGAATGAGGGAGAATGGTGGTGTAGATGAACCTAACCAAGGTACACTGTAAGCATGTATGGAAATGTCACAATGAAACCCTCTGTACAAATAATACATGCAGGTAAAAATGTTTTTTAAAGTATTCATTAGGGAAAACAAAACTAAAGACATCCAACATATTTTTAAATTGTCATTTTGTATTCAGATTAAAATAAGGTTGAAGGCATGATGATGATGATGATGAGATAATTATATGGTGATTTGAAGCAAAATGTCCAGAAAAGTCTGCATGTCTTTCAGTTTAACTATGAAGTCATCACTTAATGTGAATAATCAAAGTAACCCTTTCTTTTTTTCCATTTCAGTGCTGAGTACAAGAGAAGGACTAAATATGTCCAGAAAAGTCTTAATCCCGAGTGGAATCAAACAGTAATTTATAAAAGTATTTCCATGGAACAGGTATGTTATGATGATTTTCCAGGTGACAGATTTAGGCTAATATCACTATAGTTATGACGAAATTATTGGAAGATTGGGACCCATATCAGTGTTTTCCATACAAACCAAACAGTTCAGTAAACTACATGTAGGAAATGTAGCCACTGAGAAGAAATGAGTGAAGTTCAAAGATAGGGGGAAAGTAGATGTGTGCTTTTTGACAAAGTGGCCAAAAATGAACAAATAAGTAAATGAAATAGGACTAGTGGATCCATTGATTATTTAAAAATTTCAACTTCAATAGAGTGAGTTGTATTTATAATTTGGGCAAGAATACTTTTCAACTGACCATCTTTTGACTTTCATCAATAATAAAAAGAAAAAATACATAGAAATGCATTACTCTAGGAAATAATATTTCTGAAATTCATCTCTTTTCTAAGTCAAGGTCTCCAAGAAGAGACATTATGAAACTAAACTGTACAGAAGGCATAATGATGAAAGTATAAAAGATTATCACCACAAACAAGTGATTCTAGACAATATTACATGATTGTGCTTTTGAAACTCTGAATTTCATAACTTTTCTTACATACCAGAAAATAACTGATAGTTCATGATGTTAAATTCAGAGAAGAGAATACAAATAAAACAGGAAGAAGGAATTCTAATTCATATTAGACAATTTATCAACAAGTTGTCCTTCAAAATGATGTTTCAATTTATCCACTAGTGGAATAATTTGATTTCAAAATTATAATCTGGGTTCTTATTTTAAAATAAGTGAAATTCACCTGTAGAGATAAGATAGTGCAACTATATTTTTGGAAATCGAAACAAAAATCTATAACCTAAATACTTTATCTAAATAACTCAGGAATTTTTTCAGTCTATGAATTCCTAATATTTAAAGAATGTAGATTCTGCTTTCTATTTTTAAAAAATTGGTGGGTGGAAGGGATAGAACAAATGGGAATAAGTAAGAGTTATTATTTTGATCACAAAATAATGAGCTATTTATGATCAAACACTAGATTGGTCTGCAAAATAATCATTGAAGTTTCACAGAATATTAGTATAAATCTACATAGTTTCAGATAAAATCTCAAGTATTTTTACACAAATGGACAAGATTCAAATATGAAAATAAATTAGTTTATTTTTAAAAAGGTAATGAAAAATTACGATGGGAAAATGGGGTTAATAACAATTTTATTTGGACTATAGCTCAAGAAGAAAACCCTGGAGGTGACAGTTTGGGATTATGATAGATTTTCTTCTAATGACTTCCTTGGGGAGGTAAGCCTCTGATTTGCTTTTCCTTAATGATTGCCATTATGAACCACCAATTAGAGCATGATGCAAAGTCTGTTTCCTAAGTTTATAAGACAGTTATTTAATAAAATCCTTTCACAGATAAAATTTATTTCCTGAGTTAGTCTTTGAATAAATTGAACAGCAACTTGAGAAATGGTTTTATTCTATCATTTGACATACTTGGTGACTAATTTGTAAGATTCAATATTAATTGTTCCAATAGGAAAATATACAATCTTTCTGTGAGTCCAAATGAAACTTGAGGTAACAAATTTATATTACTAATGAGCTTGTTTTGTTGACTGAAACAGATCCTCTCTGGGAGAGTTTACACCACTGAGAGGGGGGAGGATGTGGAGAAAGGGTGTAGAAGGGTGAGAATGGTGCAAATACTGTGTACACATGTATGTAAATGGAAAAATGAGACCTGTTGAAACTACTCCAGGAATGGAGGAAGGGGGTATAAAGGAGAATGATGGTGGGGGAGAATTCAAGTGTATATTTGATATATTGTAAGAACTTTTATAAATGTCACAATGTACCTCCATCCAGCACAACAATAAAAAAAGCAATTTCAGGTTCTTTAGTTCCTAGTCCTCACTGAATATATCACTGTAACATTTATATTACTATTTATGATTAAATATCCTGAGAAAAATTTCTCAAATACTTTCAAAAGCAAAACTAGAAACAGAAGAAGATAATTTATACAACTTTATATAAGTTTGCAAGGAATTAAAATAATCTAATCATGAAATCAGGTATGTGATAAGACCTTGTGGATTTGTTCGTACATGGTGTTCTGAAAGTACATGTTTTGTTTAGTTCTCTTTTCTAAGAGAAGAAGTTTGGCATATATGTTAAAAATAAGTTATCTGTAAGAAATGCAAAGCCTACAAAATGTGACATCCTTTGAGAAAGACTATATAAACAGTTATGTAGTCTAGGTGATAATTTAGGCTTGTTTAATTCTTAAGATTCTGTACCTCTTTTTCCTGCCCAAACCAGACCATTTAACTCTCATCTTCACAATGTATTTTAGTCCAGATTCCGGTACTAATTTTGATCTTAGACAGGACTACTCTAGGATGTAGTGTTACTTATGATTTATTATCTTGTTTCAAAACTGACTTACTGAAGTCCTTCTAATTTATTGTCTTATATTTATGTGAATGACCTGCATATATCCATGGTGCTAGAGTTTTATATATATACATATTCAAATCTAGGATACCAGCAATTGTAAATTGCATCATTATTTATATACCACTAAGGAAAAAAGTTAGCTAAATTATGACACAATGCTTTCTCATCATCAGTTGTCAGTCATATTTCTATTTCAAATATTAAAGTGTGTTTTTAAATTGAAGAAATAAGTTAGTAATTGCAAATTATTCATTTTTTCTTTTCATTTTGTCCCTCTGTGACTAAAATGATACCTTTTTTAAGTTGCTTGTCAAATTTAGGACTATTCATAGAACAAAAAAGTTTTGTGATAAGATTGATTTATACTACCTTCTTTCATAATATGCAAATAATTTAGTTAATAGTCAAAGACCTTAAATAGCTCAATTTAATCATACATTTACTAGGTATTCAGTATGCATGGAAACACTGTTCTCATTATCATGGCTGAAGAAAAATGAGAAAAAAATACAAATGAGGAAGATCCTATCATCATTGTCAAAGTTGATACCGAATCCTTTGATTTATGTCCTTGAATAATTAAATCACAGAAAAAACTAATGAATGCATTATAGTTTCATACGTAAGTTTCATTAACTTGTTATACTCTTTGCAGGTATTGATCGATTTGTCTAGCACATCTCACCTCGATAACACTCCTAGGTGGTATCCACTCAAAGAGCAGACTGAAAGCATTGATCATGGCAAGTCTCATTCCAGTCAGAGCAGCCAACACTCCCCAAAGCCATCTGTCATCAAAAGCAGAAGCCATGGTATCTTCCCTGACCCATCCAAGGGTAGGAGTGATTTCAAGAGCAAAAAGTGATTTGTACATTTGTTTACTCAGTAGCTTCTTGACCAGAGTGCCTCTAGAGTTAATGTATATTGCAAAGTCAGATTCTATTGAAAGAAATTAAAAGAATATCCTGTGGAGTTATATGGAATTTGGAAAAATGAACTTTAATCTCAGATTAGCACAAAATTGAGTAAATGACTTTGCAATTTTTGGTTTTCTGACTCCATTTTTCAATTTTTTAAAAGGATGAGTTTAGAGTATATGAACTTTGTCTTTTCTGTTTCTCAAAATCTATAATAAAATGATTTTTTAAAATGTGTTGACACGTTTCATAAAGAAATTATAAAATACCTTTTAGTACATTGACTAAACATAATCATTATCACTTAGGTATATTTCTTTTTATTGTTTGAATTTCTGATTTTTCATAAGTGTACTCTTAAACTATAAATAAAATTTTGCATCCTGCTTTTACCTATCATATCAAGAATACTTTTTGCATGTCATCAAAACAATCCACATGCTAAAATTTTCTTCAGTCTTTTCTGAATGTTGAACTGAAACAAATTTTTAATTATTGTTATTTTTTAAAACAACAGTGCCACGTATTAGATTATGTAACATACAAAGCATTCCCATTTAAATGATCTTTATGTTGGGAGGTTTATCACCAACTATCCTACAACACATTAATTTTCATTATAAATTGATTTCTTATCTGTATAGAATATATGTGATAACTTATCTAGATATAGTGAACTATTTGTAAGTATTAAATACTATGTTTATATTGGACTTGAGTATTGCTTCCTTATCTTTGCTACATTTCTCAGAAAGTACATCAAATTGAAAAGTACTTCTATGTACATTAAAAAGGAATTGGATTACAAATTTAAGTGTGCTAGGAGATGAGAAATGAAGACATATCCATCAGGTCATCCAGTAAATATAGTAAACCACTGACTACAGTGACTGTTGTAGATTATTTATGAATGGGTTTTATAGATCAATTATGGGTTCCATCCAACATCTCAACAGTGCCTTGTTTAACAGTCTCCAAGATGATTAGAATAAAGATCTCTCCTTCTATCTAACTATCCTAGCAAACGTGTGATCTGTGCATTTTCTAAAATTGCCTGAGACAATGGTTAACATTTAATACATTATGTGACTCTCACCACTCATCCCAAAATTCATGACATTGTTTCTTAAAAAGTCTGCATCAGTGTAAACTTACTGACCTCTTCTAGAATGAGCAGAGTTGCTGGGTGAAACTAGAAGTGAGCCTCATTACTTGAGGCTACTTAGATGTAGCTTTTTATGACTGTATCTCTTCTCAGGACTGCTATCCTTTTGCCTTTCATTCCCAAAATCATTTTCCAAATGTTTACTCACAATTAATATGGTAAAAAAATTTCATAAATAAGCCATAAAAAGCATTGTTAACATAAATCTTAGACAGTTTCAAATTATTTGCAGACCAAGCTTGATGGTAAGAAGACTGGAACAACTTTAACTCATGTTTTACCCTTTTGTAACCAGACATGCAGGTTCCTACCATTGAGAAATCCCACAGTAGTCCTGGTAGCTCAAAATCATCATCTGAAGGCCATCTCCGCTCTCATGGACCATCTCGCAGTCAAAGCAAGACCAGCGTCACTCAAACCCACCTGGAAGATGCAGGGGCTGCCATAGCTGCAGCCGAAGCTGCCGTGCAACAACTCCGCATTCAACCAAGTAAAAGACGCAAATAAATTCCTCAGCATGGCAGCTTAATGTTCATCTGTTGCCTTTCTCTCCTGCTGTCCTTCCCTGTTTGCTTTCTGTTTTTGGCATTCCCTGCTCACTTTGTTCTCTGTCCCTTTGTCTGTGTAAGAATAGTATCAATACATAAATATGCTCTTCCTTATTTAGTTTTTGTTTTTTAATTTATATAGACTGCAATAAAACTGGCTGTTTCTCCTTTGTTTCCCCCATCCATCCAACCTGGCTCATAGTATTTGGTAGCTGTGTCTATGATGTTTGCAGGTAAAGCAACGTTGTATGTCCTTTTTGTGTGTGCTTAAATATCCCTTAGAAGGCAGGAGTTAAAAGCACAAAGGGTTGCCAGTTTTCCAGGCATTACAGCAAAAAAGCACAAGCACACAAGTATATAGAGCAGATTAGCAATGAAATGGTTGCACCTAAAAACACTCAAAAAATTTTAGGCAGAAGCAAAATTAAACCAACAGTCAATTTCTAGAACCTAGAGGGAAAAAAGCCATTCAAGTCAATGCTTAAAAACACTAAGACATTGTGCATGTAAGATGATATAACTTTCCATGTATGAAGCTTCCTAGTCTCTTAAAAATTTTGTGATCAAAAATACGTATTATTAGTATAAGAATATGTGATGAGGAAATATAACCTCATTTAGGAGCACAATTAAGTCCATTCTATTGGATCACACTTTGTATAGGACAGCAGAGAGCTTACAGGCCACTTTTCCCCAACCATTGAAATCCTTCAAAATCCAAGGTATGCTATATGTAGTAGCTGTAAATTAATTAAAATATGATAATTCACCCATCTGAACTGTTGTATTTTCATTCTATTTGTGAAAATTTAGTCAACTGATATAATTATAGAAAAGCCTCAATGCAGATGTTTTGCAATTGTATGTGCACTGTTATCTCCAAGAAGTATCAGCCAGGCAATGGAGATACATTGTTGTTTTCCCCATCTCTCTAATCATTATTCCAAAGAAACAGCCAGTTTTAAACCCCTTTAGTGCTGTGCATGTGGTATCATTTTGGCATTTGAAAACACAATTTAAATAGAACAAAAGAGCACTTCTGTTTGCATGAATAACATTAAAGCTGGTTCCATCTGAGGATACATACTCTGGGTTTCCATTTCACCCACACTGCCACAGCAGCACATAAAAGCGGTCAGTCTAATCATGCCAGGAAGCATCACAGACACAGCATAGCAGGAGTCCTCCCCACTCAAAGGACTCAGTCTGATAATCTGCCTCCACCAGCCAATGGCAACCAAGACCAAAGCCAGCTAGCCCTCAGGAAGGTGGTGTCCGATGGACCAGTCAAGCCAGAAGGAGGTGAGCAGAAAGGCCCTGTTCAAAGCACACAGCAAGAAAATCCCCCACATTTAAAGCTCTCATCTTTAATGTTTAGAGATTGTCCGATAAATATGTTTATCCACTTTTTAATGTGCTTTTGTGGGCATGGCATTTTAGGACTTCATCATCACCATGTAAGTCCCAAGATCAGTCTCGTAATATACTGACTACAGTGATTTGTATTTTTCTATGCATTGGGCATCTTTGACCTTTGTTGGGAAATAGACTTTAACAGTATTCATATTGCAGAATGGAATGCATGCTACTAACCTAATCTGTTCAAGCATGACTATAAATATGTTGCATTGTGATAAAAGTTTAAATTGCTCACAATTCAAGTTAGTATACCAGTTGAAATGTAGTTCAGTTTTTGTTACATATTATTTGAAGTGTAACTTTTGGAAATTCTTAGAGGAAAGTAAAGGAAAAATGTTAATGCACTCACTCACCTTTACATAGTGAAAGTTCTTTCTTGATCCTACAAGCAGACATTTTCCATTCGTGTTTCCATAGTTGTTAAGTGTATCAGATGTGTTGGGCATGTGAATATCCAAGTGCCTGTGTAATAAATAAAGTATCTTTATTTCATTCATAAACTACTGGGTTCTGAGCCATTGTTATATGATGCAGCACAAAACCAGTGTGTCAGTTTTTGTTTTCTCATTTAATCCCTTTCAGTAGAGTATAGTCATTGCTCCATTACTAGTGAGAGCTGTGATGACAGAAACATTTGGGAGCAAACAAAGTTCCACACTGGAAACAAAAGACAGAAGGAAAGTCATTACCAAGTAAAAGCATCAGCGCTTAATAAAAAAGCAAATAAACAATGGGGTTGGACTAACCTAAGCAACATTTCCACTGTTTCTCTCTCCAGTGTCTGATCTACTTGGCAATCTTCTCAGGTTCCTGCGTAGAAGAAAGTAAATCCCATGAGCCCTGGCTTTGGAGATGCAGCTAACCTTGATCCCACAGCTATAGTAAAAAAGAAAAGCAAACTTATAACTATCCCTAACTTGACTCCCACATTTGTGGAGTTTTCCCCAAGAAACTGCCACTACCCAATGACATAAGTCAAACGACAGTGATCACAAAATTGTCTCCTAATTTAATTCAGACACACATATAAGGTGTTTTTTTTTAAATCAGGATAGCAGCGTTAGCTCTCTTAAGTACCTCCCAGCCCTAAAATACTCAATTTTATGATTGAGTATTTTGTATATTTGCTACAAAGTTAAAATGAAACCTTGTACTCTTGTATTGCCCCTTTATTCTCAGAAAATTAAAAACATTTAATGTCCTCTTCATCTAATTTATCAGATATTTGGGGACCAGTAGATGTATGTAGCAATGTGGAGGCAAACCATTGAGCTGTTTCTTTGGTTTGCCAGGTAGTTAAGAAGGCAATTAGCTTAAAACATTATTATAATTCAAATACATATTTGGTCAGCCCAGTTAATAGATTGTCACCAGAACACAATTTCTCTTTCCTTGCTAGTCTTACTAGTACATTCCAAAAGTATTTAAAATTCCACCTCTCACCCTTTCTTCACAAGTAAGATCAGTTAATTTCTTTGTTACTCATTTTCTTACTTGAAATATTGCATTAATTATAAATGTCACAGTAACCAACTACTTCCCTTATCTCATGCTTTATTACTTAAGTATTCTGATGTAGGTGAATATGTAATTATTTTGTAAGATTTTCATCATAGCTGCAGTTCTTAAAATTTATATGAAAATACAAATTTCCTTTGAGTAAGGCTATAATAGATATCTCTTATATTTAAAGCACTAAAATTGAATCAAAAGTCATTCTTTACTGATGTCACAAAGGGAAAAATAGACAACACAGCATGCTTTCTTGTCTCATTTTGTCCTAATAGATGATAAATAAAATGCCCTATTTTCTAAAATGTAAATGTATTAGTTCTATAAATACAATTATATAATTGAACCATGCATCTTGCCAAATGCCTAATAATAAACATTCTGTAGGATTAAATTTACATAAAATTCAATGTAATTTGTTTAAAGCCTGGAGAGAAAAACTGATCAGAGATATAAACATATAAAGAGCCAGCAAGTCTCTGCTCATTACTTCACTTCCTGAAGTATTAGTAATAATTTTATGTGTTTGGACAAAAGTCTCCCATTTCAGTCCTCACAATAGAGTTCATATAATCCCATCTGCATTCTAAAAATACTCCACATTTGAACAGTTTTTCATATTGTATAAAGTGTTTTGTCATCCATTTTTCATTTTTTCACACAAAGTAGATGAGATAGTCATTCAGATATTCTTCTTCCTGTTTCATAAGGGAGCAATCAGAGAGTCAGAGGTGTAGGATGTCTGATGTAAGAACACACAGCTAGAAATTTTCAGCACCAGCAGTCAAAACCCTTATCTTAGGACTCTGAAGCCTTTGCATTTTTAATACACTGACTCTTCAAATCAAACTCTCCAATAAAAACAATGGTCATTTACTTATTTGTTATTTATCACTAAAATTCTTACAAATTATTATTGACAACTAGAAATGGTAGCAGAATGCAATTTAATTTCCCTGTCTACCTCATCCTCCTTTCTCTGGCTAGTGATTCAAGTTGTTGACAGCAAAGGAAGAAAACTTCCCCTTGCACAAGCTCAGTGAGGCAGGAGGCAGGTCTGTGGAGGATGCTGTACGTGCACCTCTTTCGGCGTTTCTGCCAAGGGTGACAAAATTGTCCCTGAAGTATTTTTCAAAGATTTCTTGTAAGCGTCTCAGCAGATTTCTGCTTGAAGTAACATAATATATAGGTCAAGCAAGAATTATGGAGTGAGGCAAAAGTCACTTCTCTCCCTCTGGGGTTTAGTTGCATGCTAGAAAATCTGAAGGGACAGATTAGACAGATTGTGCCAAATCACCCTGATGCCTAAACAACTCTGCTTGCATGTAGAGATCCCTGGAGGTGGTTTTTTTTATTTGTTTGTTTTGTTTTGTTTTCATTTTTTTTTTTTCCCCAAGTGCCTTAGTTGAACACAGGCCATGCCTGTGATACCAGCTAGGGAAGAAGCATTTATAAAGTAGTTTTTTTTTTTTTCAATTTTACTTTTTTGAAGATCATACCAAAACAAAAACAAATGGAAGTTTCTTAAAACTTTGAAGATTTTATTAACATCTAACATGTTAAATTTTAAATGCAATTTAAACATTCTTGTCTATGTTTGATACTAAGATTTTAGGTATGAGTTTTGAATTTAGAAACAGATCATACAAGATGAGTAAACCACTACTCCCTGGGCAATAAAACAAGAACAGCTGGGACAGGTTGAAGTGCTTAGATGAGAGAAATTATTAAATAAGTTGTTTGAGGGAATTAAAAATGCAAATCCCTTTGTATAGGCGAATTGTAGGAGAAAAGGCTGAAGCTACTTCCACAGACCACTGCTGGAAATTCGACTTTCAATAAAGCTTATTTGCGGCACCTATCAAAGACAAGATTCATGCCCATGTTTTGCCTTGGTGAACTCTTGCCAAGCCATCATTCTGTGGGAGTTGCTCTCTTGGGCAAGCGGTAGTGGGTGGCTGGGTTGGGAACGGGCGGGCACTGGGAGTGGAGGGAATTGTTGGTGATAGATCATAGTGGCTAATCAACATCTCATTTACTTCTAAAGTACATGGATCACTTCAGTCAGAAGGAATTAGCCTCTTGTTTATAGTAAGAACAGGGCCCATCAGAAGGGAAGGAAAGGTGAAATCTAAAGGAACTCAGAATGGGTTCATTTGGAGGTAAAGTCTTCTTCAACATTGTATGTACATGCTTAATAAAAACAAACTTTACATTCCTCATTTCAATGTATTTGTGTAAAAGCAAAAATTGCAACATACAAAAAATAAAAAGCCTAATCAGTTTAAAATTTAAAAACTATTGATATAATAGTGTTGTGAACATGGCAGACATCCAACAAAATCTAAAAATATCTGAATAATTTTTCAACTTTCAGAGTTCTGTGCCTATTTCCCAG